CAAGTACCACAAACCTCCCATACTAGGTTAGGGATTTTAACCCCCAACTTCGTACTTTACCGGGTTAGTCATTCAATTATGATATGAATCGATTACTTCCATACCAAAACTACATAGAACCAAAGGGAAATAACTTTTAAAACAACTTAGTTCATCTCTAGAAACTATGTATCTTAACTTAGACATGTATCTCAACCACATGTCCATTATTTTACCACTTTATACAACATACAATTTTATAACTTTCATCAAATTAATTATCAATATACAACTCAAAATTGTAGACACCTAATTTTGTCCGGGGGCAAGGAAATGGACCTCCATTATGAAGGGAAGGAGCTCCCGAAACAGGCAAACAACAAGACAGGACATCAGAAGGCCTAAAGGCCAAATAAGGTGGTTTTAGTAGCCCAGAATGGGCTGTTCCAGGATTAGAACGGGCTGTTTCCAACCCCGAAACAGACTGTTCTAAAATCAAAATGGGTCGTTCCAATATCAGAACGGGCCGTTCCAACGTGATTAAAACACCTAAAAAGTCTTAGGCTGGAACAGGTCGTTCTAATGCCAAAACGGGTCGTTCCAAACAAGTTAAATTCGGAACGGGCTGTTCTGGAAAGGGCAACCTTGTGTTAATTTCCACTCTGGAATGGGCCATTCCAGTTTTAGAACGGGTCATTCCAGGGTGCGTAATTAGCACATAACGACTGGCTCAGAACGGGTCGTTTTGAATCCGGAACGGGCCATTCTGCCCCCTTCTGATTGCTATAAATAGAAGTCTCGGGCACAGTTCTCCAAGCGGCCAAAGAAATTTCGAATAAGACTCCTTTGAGCACAAAAATTCTCTATCTCTCTCCCTTCTATTGTATTTCTTGAGATTTGTGTCGCATCTCTATCTTCTCTCTCCCTCCTATTGTATTTCTTGAGATCTGTGAGACATACTATAGTGTGAAAGGTCGTCACAAAGCACTTTCTCCATATTTGAAGATTCAATAAAGCTCGTTCAAGAGGTATTTCAGTCAATCTTCTTCTCTTCCTTTTATTTCTCATCTTTATCTTTTTTTGAACGCCATAATGTAGATATTTTAGGGTTAATCGCTTAATTTATATTTTAAGCATGTAAATAAACATTAATAAAGGAGATTCAATATTTAATTTATTAATTCTTATCGTGTTAATTTCATCATAGGGTACCGATTTAGGGCGTTGTAGGGGTGCTTAATACCTTCTCTACACGTAATCGACCCCCGAATCCAATTCTAGTTATCAAGGCCATTACTGGACCTTAAAAAACTTTTTTATTTTTCTAATGTTTTGAGTAAAAAATTGGTGGTGACTCCATGAACCTATTTTCGAAACCATTGATTAAGGATTAGTCTGGTGTCTGGGCATTCTTTAATTGATGAGATCTTTAAATGGATGTCTAAACCATAGGTCGCGAGATCAGAAATTTTCGGGTTGCGATAAACATTAATAGTACTCATCATTAATTATTATCATTTAACAACATTTAAATATCAACAATTCATTATATTTTAACATTTAATATTTCAGCACATCATATATTACCATATGTTATAAGAGAAGTAACATAACATTTTCAACATGTAATCATCAACTAACATACAACAACACTTATACATAACACAACACAAACTAGACTTATACCAATCAAAACAAACTCATCTTTATCTCATATGAAAGAAAAAAAGATTGTTTATAACTCTTATGAAGACTTCAAGTTCTAATTCTATCATCTATTATGCTAAAAACCTCAAAAACTGCAATAGTCTACGTAAAAGCTATTAGCTTGACCTTTGCTCACTAAAAAGGTCATAACTTGAGTTCTAGACCTCCTTTTTGGGTGATTTCGATGCCATTAAAAAGTTAACATTCAGGGCTATAACTTTTATACGGACCACAAAAACTGATTCTGACTTCATCGCATCCAATGTGACATTTTCCCAATTGATGCGAGTGTAGGGTATGCACTTCGTGAAACTTAGAAATTTTGAATTTCCCAAACCACCAAAATCCATCCTTAACTCATCTACTAACTCCAAACTCAATTCTAAACCAGCATAATTCATATAATCATCGTTACAAAACATGATTCCAACCACAAAAATGACATGAAAACAAGAACATTCTAGAAATCAACCAACTCATCAAGCCACAACTATGGTCAACAAAAAGCGTAATAAAATCTAGCACATTTCATCTAAATCAACCAAGCATCCAATGAGAATTTTGACAATCAATATAGTATATTTCAGACCTTATTTCAACATGAAAAATATATAAACAAAGGTAAGCTTCCCTTATCTCTCTCAAGTTTAAATAGCCAAGAAACATAAAAAATCAAAGACTTCATACGGACACTTTCTCTACTAAAAAACCCTTATCCACTCAACTAGCCACACAACCAACAATCAAACAAGATAGTCAACTTCGAGAACACCTAAGGATTCCAAGAGCTAGGGCCAACTTCATGAGTAAGGGAAATGGGGGAGAGAAAGGTTTAATCAAGATAAGGAAACTCTCTTACATAAATTCTTTCTTTTTTGTTCCCTTTTCAGAAAACAAGTTATGAGCACCAAGGATGAGAACCCTCTATTAACTCTTTAGAACAACTCAACTAGTCCACCTCCTCTCTCAAACCAGTCCAAAAAGACTCAACTCACAATAAGTAAGTCCAAAAGAACAAAAACCACTTAAAACAACTCAACAACAACAACAAATTAATTACAACAATAAAATAAATTCAATTGAAACCAAATAGCAACACTAATTAAATTAAAACACAACACAAATAATTTAATTAACAAACCATCAATAAATTAAATTCAACTTAGCAAACAATTTAAAGTAAACACGAACATCACATATTGACAAAAACTATATTTGTTTGTTTTAATTATTAAAGTATTTTTATTCAAATATTTTTTTTTAATTTTGATATAATATTTTTGATATATATTTTTATTTATTTACAATGACAATTTATTTTATACTATTGTAGAAATATATTATGATTACTAATTATTATAATATTTTAGTCCAAATTTTTTCTTCAATTTTGAATTTTTTTATACAATATGTGTAAAATGTAATAGTTATTAGTATTAATTTTATACTTTTTTGTATATTAATTAATTTTTATATTATTTTTGTAAAAATATTTATATAATTACTTTAATATTTAATTTTATTGGAGAATGTTTTGAAAGAAAAGAAGTTATTAAGGAATTTTTTTATATTAACATATATATATATATATATATATATATATATATTGTTTTAGA